TATGATAGCATGTTTGCATTCATTCATCTGTATTGCATGCACCGGGCTCGGCACATCATACTAACTGCATTGTACTTTCAATTCAAAGTTGAATACGTGGTAGTCCTCCCCCTGGTCTTCACCATTCCTCTGGCCAAGTCTGTCGTCTTCGGCGTGCTCTATATGGTCTGAAGCAGTCTCCTCGTGCTTGGTATGATCGCTTTCAGACTGCTGTTACCGAGCTTGGGTTTCATTCTTCTGCTTCCGACTCTGCTTTATTTCTAAGATATACCTCGGCTGGTTTTGTTGCTCTCTTACTATATGTAGATGATATGATCATCACTGGCTCTGACTCTTCTGCTATCTCTGAGGTCAAGCAGCATCTCTTTCGCACCTTCGAAATGAAGGATCTGGGACCATTGCGGTATTTTCTTGGCATTGAGGTGGCTTCTTCTCCCAAGGGTTACTTTCTGTCCCAAGCTAAGTATGCTAATGAGGTTATCCATTGTGCCAAGCTTACTGACACTAAGCTGTCTGATACCCCCATTGAGCTTAATGTAAAGCTCAACACTACTGATGGGGTTCCTCTAGATGATCCTACGTTGTATCGCGAGCTTGTGGGTTGCTTAGTCTATCTGACCGTTACTCGCCCTGATCTTGCCTATGCTGTCCATGTGATTAGTCAGTTTGTTTCTGCCCCTCGCTCTACACATTGGGCTGCTTTGCTTCGGATTCTTCGTTATCTTCGCAGTACTATCTTTCAGGGCTTGCTGTTCTCTTCTACTTCTTCCTTAGATTTTGGTGGCTTATGCTGATGCTGATTGGGCTGGTGATGTTAATGATCGTAAATCTACTTTTGGTTTCTGTATGTTTCTTGGCGATTCCCTAATTTCTTGGAAAAGCAAGAAACAGACTGTTGTTGCCCGTTCTACTGCCGAAGCTGAGTATCGTGCTATGGCTCATGCTACTGCTGAAATTGTCTGGCTTCGTCAGCTCTTATCTGAGTTGGGCGTCCCTCAATCTTCCCCAACCTCTCTCTATTGTGACAACCGAAGTGCTATTCAAATTTCTCATAATACTGTCTTCCATGAACGGACAAAACATATTGAGATTGATTGTCACTTCGTCCGTCAGCATCTGCAGTCTGGCTTTATCTCGCTTCCTTTTGTCTCTTCGGCTCTGCAACTTGCTGACTTCTTCACTAAGACTCACACCACTGCTCGGTTTCGGTTTTTTCTTGACAAACTCTCCGTGTTTTCTGCTAAAACACCTTGAGTTTGAGCGGGGGTGTGAGAATATGTGTTCTCCTCAGATTAGGAATCTGTGTCCTATGTTTATTAGACTTCTATATATCTCAGTAATGTATTCATGTAGGGTTAGGGAATTAGTGGTACTCTATATAAATGATGTATGTATTCTTTGTTCAAATTAATTCAATCTAATATACAGGTTGTTTAGAAATCTTACAATTATTTCCATCATCTATATCAATACTAGCTTCATCAAGTATATGTCGTTCAAAGAACACCAGTCATCAAATATATGTTTTATTGATTAATTTTTATGTGTATATTACAAATGGCAGAGTATGGTCTAGGAAATGAAGTGTCAACAAGTGGAGATGTGTACAGCTACGGGATATTGTTATTGGAGATGATGACAGGGAGGAGACCCACCGACCCTATGTTTGAGGGCGGGCTTAACCTTCACAGCTTTGGTAGGATAGCATTGCCTGACCGTGTTTTGGAGATTGTAGACCCAACGCTACTGAACAATGATGACAGTGAGGCACAGGCAGAAGTGGAAGAGGCAAAAAGTAAGTGGGATTCAACACAATTAAGAAATGGCAGCACAACAGAGGAGTGTCTGGTTTCAATGGTCAAGATTGGAGTTGAATGCTCCATGGAGTCGCCGCAAGATCGAACAAATATAACTAATGCTGTCCATGAGCTGCATTTCCTCAGGGGCATCCTTATGCAGTAAATGTCTTAAATGACTTTAGATGCATAGGGTAGGGCTGCAAATTATCTGAGCTATTCGCTGTTGGAAATGGTAGAAAAATTCTGGGTAAAATCAGAATTTTTTTTCAAGTTTGGTCTATTTTTTAGGTGGGCCCCGAGTGTCGTTTTACTCAGGTCAAAGTGGTAACGCGTTCTATGCCGCGTTGTGATTCACGTGGTATACAAGTGTTTTAGAGGGAGAGGTTATGGGCAAAATGGGTTAGACCCATTGGACCCAAAAATCACCACACGCGCGCGCCGCCGTCCGTCCGGTCGGGCAGAAAATTTTATTTTTTATTAAAATAAAATCCAAAATTCAAATTAAATTGGTTTGGATTATTTGTTCATCCAAACAGGGCCCTTCCCGTTTTTAAACAGAAATAAACTAGTTTGGAATTAGTACACACCCAAACAGGGCCCTTCCCGTTTTTGCTATCTGTTTGAATTGTTAACAGATTCAAATCTGTTTGAATTCAAAACCAACATGTATCATACCTGTTCAATTAAAACCAAGAGCCACCTTTACATCTATAAATAGGACCACCTTTATTTGATATTATTGATTCAGAAATTTCGTATTTCACCTCTGCTAATTATATTCTTCATCTTGCTGCATTTTATTTTCGAAAGAAAGAGGGTAAACACTTAGTGTGTTCGTAAGGCAAACAATTTTTGCTGCATTATTTTCTTGTCAGAGAGAGTATAAACACTTAGTGTGTTCGTAAGGCAAACAATTTGTAGTGCTGCTATTGTTTGTGGTAGATCATTTCATCCTGGGAGATAGACGTCCAAATTCTGAAAGCACCGTGGAGATGACGAATCTGTCTTAAGGACACAGTGTTAAACACTGGACTTGATCAGAAAAGTTATTCAAATAAATTAACCAAGTAAGTTGTTTAATTTTATTCTGTTTTTTATTTGTTTATTTAATCAGATTTTATTTTTGTTTTTGTAACAAAATAAAATCTGTGGTTTTATTTATTTATTTTTATTTCGAGTTTGATTTTTGTAATCAAACAAATTCTCTCATTTTCTTTATTTCTTTATATTCTTGTTGTTGTTTTGTACGCAACAGAATTTAATCTTTTTAAATACAGTGAAGATTGTCCGACATTCGCGAGCTCAGCTCGGTTTATTATGTCAATTCATTATGTAAATAATTGAGCCCGAGCTAGATTTTTAGGCTTATTTAATAAATGAGCTAAGCTTGAGCTAGAGCAAGCTCGGCTCATAAGGCTTAGCTCATTTATTATTTATATAAATAATATGATAAACATGTTATTTTATGTATTAAATAATATAAAGTGTTGTATATGTATATTTAATTTAGAATACTATGTAATGAGCCGATCGAGCTTGATTATCAAGCCAAACTTTTTCTTTGTTATCAAGTTTTGAACCGAGCTCAAGCTGGACTAATTTTTGAGCTGAGCTTGAGATTGATTTTCGAGTTCGATAAACCAATGAGTCAAACCCGAGCCTTGCAAAGCTTGACTCGGCTCGTTTGCAGTACAAAGTAAAAAGCTTTGAATTCCCTTCAATATCATGTTTATTTTTTTCTAGCATCTCTTATCAGTACAAAATTGCATCTATCAATCCTATATGGCATAGGTACATATCCCCCTTAATAACAGCTTAAGTAGCACAGGCATTGCATAATTATTGGTAAGAGCTTGTTACTGAGGTATGATAGACTTCAAATAGGCCTGAGCAGAGACATAAACAAGAGCAACTGAAATCAAACCCATGGGTGTGTTTTTCATGCATTTTGTTTAAGATAGATTGAAATCAAGCTTGTGGCCTTAAATATAGTTTTTGTCCACCATGATGAATTCGGTATGTTATAAAAAACAGCAATGTTTGGTATCATGAAAAGTCTTTCATGAAAATAGTCATGAAAGATTTGTGACCTTTGGATTACACTTACAATAAAGCACCACACACTAATCAAGATAATCTAAGGATCACAAATTTTTCATGATCATTTTTATGACAAAATTTTCATGATCTCTAACATTTCTCTATAAAAAAAGGTAGCTTTCCCCCTTCAGAAAAACCTAATCCGATTACCTGTGTCATATAAAAAACCAATATGCATTTCTGCGGATGAACTGCTCAGAAGCATCTAATATTTGTCATATCCTTCAAGAAATAAAAACATTTAATACCATTGTTCTTCACCAACATTCAATATCATTGGTTTTGTCATTTCAACGAAAAACATAGAAGCTCATTTCTTTTGGATTAATTTGTCTCAGCTAAGGTTTCCCCTCTCACCAAGTACTTATATTACCACCGAAAAAAGAAGCACCATAAAGCTAAACTCCTAACAATAACCCCAACAAATATTGGCTTGCTTATCTTAGCCAACAATAACATTGGATTGCATTACCAAAAATCTTCATTACATGTCCTAGACAAGTGGATTATAGGGTTCAAATTCTCAAAACATGGTAGAAACAAAAATCACCATAGCCATACCTTGTGCAGTTATTCTCAATAGCCAGATTTCACTTTATTGGTTCCTGAAAGCATTTTCTTCTTCAAAGCTAGCTCCAAGCCCAACAACAAAATCAACTATCTGTTTCAGGGCAAGACCCTCAACAGATTGTTAGCACTCCTGCTCATTATCACCTATTAGATGCCATTCTGAACATGAAAAATGATTTGCAAGTGGAAATTCAAGTCAGCTTGAATTGGGCAGTGTTATACTAGACTAGTGATATTGTCTAATTCAAGCCCAACACATTGCCTGTTTTAACTGGATCTGAACTTCAAAAATCACTGTATTTTGGAGATTCATGTCTATACTGCAACTTGGTCAGACCAAAATGAATGAATTATTATAATAAGTAAAGGGGAAATAACATTTAGTACAAATTTGATTTTTTTTTTTTCTTTTTCCAGATCACAGTGAAGTTTCCGAACTTTAATAATTAAAATTTTATACTTTTATGGCTTGGTTTGGGAAGTGGGTTGGCTTTTTTATTTTTTTTTTAATTTTTTTTTACTATTTTAGCTTGGGACTAAAAAATCTGGTTTGAGAATGACTTTTGGCTATTTTGGCTTTTTTGTGAGAGAAATAATGTAATGATTATGAGTTGTATGTTATATTTTGTCTTATTGGGACTAAAAAGTTTATTTTGTTTTTCGTGATTATTTTAACCCAAACCCACTTCCCAAACAATGGCTATGTAATAATTTTAAAAATAGACGTAATTTTTCCACAAGTAAAAGTAAAATTTAGACAAAATAATTTTACAATTCTGACATAATTATAACCACATTTTTTTAATAATGCTAAAAGAATTATAACAAATATATATGGTATGAAAACATAAATGATAATATTATTTTTTTTATTAATATAAATAAAAAAGGGTATGGCTTCTGTCCAGTCCGGGATCGGACTGGACCGTGCTGTTGGGCCCGTGGGAGCCACCACGGGTTCCGTTTTGATAATCTGAATCGTTAATGTGTAAAAATCGTCGAGTACTATATGCCTGTAAAAAATCATATTGATCGGATATCGATAACTATGTGATCAAAACAGTTTTTTGTCAACTGTTAATTTGTTCACCGTCAAATTTTTTTAATACGAAACTGATTTGATCATATAGTTATCGATATCCGATCAACGTGATTTTTCATAGGCATATAGTACTCGACGAGTTCTACACATTCGCGGTTCAGATTATCAAAACGGGACCCGTGGTGGGCCCCCATGGGCCCAACAGCATAAAAGATTATTGATAAAAATAAAATTAGGTATTAACATTATGTGAGTTAAAACTTTAAAAAATATAATGTGATTACCAAAAAATTGGAAAACTAATTTACATCCAAAATCTCAACTTCACACACTCTCTCTCCTTCGACGGCCTCTCTCTCATCTCCTTAAAATCCGCCGTCGTTCACGGAGGCGTTGGCGCATTCTCCGACTGGAACGAAGGAGCTCGAAAACCATTCTGAGCGACGTTGAGGCCAAGGATCCGGCACCGATTTCCATCAATTTGCCGGAAGATGTGTCGGTGGAGAGGTTTAGGGAGGTTCTCGCGGAGCTTGATCGACGGAGAGAAGCTCTACGGCACAATCACAGTCACTGACGGACAGAGTTCTCAATCCATCTACAACTGATCAAGAGATCATTATGAATCCATCAGCCCGAGCCAAACCGCTTTGCTGACTGGCCCAGCTCAATCCATCTCAGCCTGCGACAACTTCACCATCGACGTGGCTCTCAAGGATAAGGACAAATTGTCTTCGGACGATGATGTTAGCAGCAAGTAGATACCGTGGAACGTTTACAACACTACCAATAAGTATGATGAGCCCTTATACGACGACGTTCCTGGCAAAAATGGTTCGGTGACGGTCAACTACATAGTATTGAGGAATGCGGTGGAGGCTACTGTGGAAGTTACGCTCGTAAACCGAGGTGGGGAAAACTGGCTTCATGTTTACGGACTGCTTACTGCTCACAATGGAAATTTCATGAATGACTCTACATCTTCGAGAATCTCCAAAACGTGCTTCGCTGAAATCGCCAAAGAAGGTGCTATGACTCTGTTTGGATTTCCAGAACTCGTTGCAAAGTTCAAGAAACTATCTCCAAAGAATTTTTGAATTTTTGTTGTTGAATTTTTGTGTTTGAGGTAAAACTGCTTTTGGAAATTTGAGAGAAATTCTCTCCAGAGAAATTCTGGATTTTCCAAAGAATTTCTCTGGGTTTAACCTAAAGAAAATTCAAATTTCTTTGGGTTCATTTTGATTGATTTTCTCTGAGTTCAAATTCAAATTTCTTTAGGTTCATTTATAAATCAGAGAAATTTTCTCTAGGTTAATTTTCTCTGCCTTTAATTGAGTAAAATTAGATTAGACATCCACAATATTATGTAGAATCAGAGCATTCACATTCTGATTCAGAGCATTCTCATTATGATTCACTGAATTGAATTTCACTGATTCAATTGAAAATTCAAGAATTTCATTGAATTGAATTAAGTGGATCAGTGGACTCCATCTTAATCAGCCTGATTTTACCAAAGAATAACACTGAATTGAATTTTCTCTGGTTTGGACCAGAAAATTTCTCTGGATTAAATTGAATTTTCTCTAGTTTGGACCAAAGAATTTCACTGGATTGAATTTTTTCTGAATTGATGTTGAGGGACCTTAGACATTATAAAAATATTGAGTGCTCTTTATACTATAAAATCATAATACCAGAGACCTTAAAAAAAAACTCATTTTTTCTTACAACCATCAAATTAATTTAAACAAAAACAAAATAAACTGTATCATTTTTTTTTTTTACAACCATCAAATTAATTTAAAAAAAAAAAAAACTAACTATCATATTAAATGTAATTTTTTTAAACGGATTAAAATAATCAAATAATTAATTAAAATAGCCAAATATACTTTATTAAAAAAATAAAAAAAATAGATTTTTTTTTTTTTTTTTTTTTTCTTCCTTGAAGCTTCCTCTGTTCTCGTCCCATCCCAGTCTCTGCATTTCACACAACACAAGTTAAAAGAAATCCAATTCTTTTCTCTCTCTCTGTCTCTCTCTCTTATTCTATTCTGTTCATCGACGAGCCATGGCGAGCCTCTGGCGAGCCGCGATGGGCGGCAGCACCCAATCCACCGACGACTACGAGGGCGTGGAGTTCTGGTCGAGCCCGGAGCGGTGCGGCTGGCTGACCAAACAAGGCGAGTACATCAAGACCTGGCGTCGCCGGTGGTTCGTCCTCAAGCAAGGCAAGCTCTTCTGGTTCAAGGAATCCACGGTCACCCGCGCCTCCAAGCCACGTGGCGTCATCCCAGTGGCCACCTGCCTCACTGTCAAGGGCGCCGAAGACGTCCTCAACAAGCAGTTCGCTTTCGAACTCTCCACTCGCTCCGACACCATGTACTTCATCGCCGATTCGGAGAAGGAGAAGGAAGACTGGATTAACTCGATTGGACGATCTATTGTTCAGCACTCGAGATCGGTCACTGACAACGAGATCGTCGATTACGATAGCAAGCGCTAGAGAGAGATTGATTCAGATTCTGTGCTTGTTTGTTGTGTAAAATTAGGTACGTTTGATCTTTGTCTTTGCTCGAAATTTTTAGAGAATTTCCGTGTTTTGTGCTTTGAATGTGTATAAATCGATTTAAGATCAATATCGTGTTTTGATCTTTGTTAGAATTCTCTGTTCTTGTTGTTATTATCAGATCTTAAAATTTGAAAAAAAAAAACTAAATAAAAAAGTTATGCTTTGTGGAACTTCCTTGTGTTTTGTAAGCTGTGATCAATTATGATGATCTTAGTTGCCTCATTTGGATATTGTTTGAATTTTTGTCTCTTGCTACTGTATCCCTTTGTTGAATTTTTAACTCTGTTATTATTATCACAATTAGAAAGAGAAAGAAGTTGAATTTGATGGAAAAGAAAGTCTTAGGATGTGTGTAACTTGGAAACATGACTGTGAAGTCTGTGATATACTGATAGTACTTGACAATGGCAGAATTTGTGTAGTCAAATGCTTATTGTAACTTGTACCCTCAGTTTGTTCTGAGGTTTAGTAATCAACTCATCTGAATTTGTGCGATCAAATGATTGTTTGAGTGTAAGAACACAAGACGTCCGTATAGCAAGGCAGAAATTGGAGCACCTAGATTCAACAACCTAAAGGATGTTATGATGATGAATCCTATGGTCGTAGAGCACTAACAATATAGGGTTTTGAGTGTGTCAACTTAACAAAATTAATGCTCAAAGATCAGCATTCTTATTGTTCTTTGGCATTTACAACTTAGCGCGTGTACATGATTGCCAAAGAGTATACCAAGGGTATCAAGACAAATGAGGTTAGTCACTGAGGACTTAGTTTCTAGCTAGTTGTTGCAATGCAAAAGGAGCCACAAGTGTTTTCTGGAGATGAGATCTCCAAGAAAGTGATGCAGCCAATTGGTTATGAGAAAATTAGTTGATGACAGAAGGAAAGTTTTTCCTTGGTGGACTGAGATTTGGTATTATCTGGGTAATCACCATTCAGTAAACTGGCCACAAGTTTTAGTAGACTTTTGATTATGTGCCTAGTAACTTGCGCCTAGTAACTTGCTGCATTTAACCTTGAAGCTGTCTAGTGAAAACATTAGATGATACATGTGGCTCATATGAATGAAAATTTTATCCATTGCTGGGATGTCAACCTCGCAGCCCTTTTCACGCTTAGTTGCTGATTTAAAGCAATTGATAGTTGATTTATTCTTGGCAACCTTCTTCAGTGGGTTTTTCACTGCATCAGTGAGCTAGGTAGTTTCTTGAGAGATATATTCAAGGTTGTATCTTTTTTAAATCATATACAATGTAGTTTTCGCCTTTCAGCGAATAGTAAAGGTCCAGTTATTAAGGTCTAATTTTTCAAGAATACTCTCTCACCTTAACACATAGGTTTTGTTTTAGCATAAAGGTGTCCATGTAAGTCTATCTTGGTATTATAATAATTCTTAGCTAAAATAATTACGGTTCTCCAGGATTCTTATTTACCTAAATCTTTATACAAATCATTGATTTTCTGAAACTTCTTTACTTTGCCTCATCAAAACTCTTCCCAAATAATTGGGAATCCGTTAAACAGGTAAGGGCTGAAATTAAAAGGAAAACAACCTCATATCATACAAAAGTAAAGTACATTATCATTCTCTCATATGGACTGAATAAAAAATAATCTTGTAAAGTAATCATATATTATTTATACAATTTGTGATATACAGGTTCCTAGTTTGAAGATAAAAGTACAAGCACAATCCTCGTCCTTTTCGAATGAGTGTTCACCATTTTTCACTGCTTTGTCCTGCAATTTAGTTACCAAAGTGCCAAAAATGAGAAGCCAATGCCATAAATCTGTACTCAATCAAGACTGGTTCCGGGTGCTAACATAATTCATGCAACTCAAGCACATAAAAGCATTATTGATTATTTAAATCACCATTATTCAAGTTGAGTAGAATACCCACACAAGGGCATGGTGGCCAATACTTTTAGATTACATAATGATATGATAAGGGTAGATTTTGTTACTTGAAAATAGAAGGCCTATCAAAGTGGATTAAATTTTCAAAAATGTCATTGTCGTATCATTTTGGTCAACAGTCATGAATTTTGTACAAGAATAAACTTTTTCATATTTTTAGGGTAATTGGATGATTTAAATTCCCATTTGATAAGATTTAAGGCTTGGTTTGATTTAGATGATTTAAATTGACATTTGATTGGAAAAGGGCAGGCTCATTATTAGAAATCTCACATTAGAAAACATAACCTGTTTACTCCGACCATTGTCCAGTTATCCATGCTGCTGCCTCCTGTTAACCAGGACAAGCCATAGAGGATTGAAGCTAATGTCAAAGAAATGACAAGTGCAATTCTATAGAGGGAAGAAGTTAAACACAAGACCGACCTTTAATTTCATACCTAGTAGAAAGTTTGCCTTGAAGAAGTTTTTTCTTGACCAGATGAAGTTCATGGAGAATATTACTCATGCTCATTCGACCTTGTGGTGACTCTGTAGAGCATGCCACTCCAATCCTGACCTGGAAATTAAACATTCCCCCATTTTGTTGCCACTGTTCACTTGCAGTGGTTTCCAAGTGTTACCGGCTGCTGCAACAATAGCTTGTACCTCTTCTTCTTCATTGTTTTGGATCACTGGGTCTACAATCTCCATCACATGGTCAGGCAAGGCCATCCTAGAAAAGGTATGAAGATTAAGGCCTTCCTCAAATATGCTATCAGTAGGTCTCTTCCCTGTTATCATTTCCAATAATAAGATTCCATAACTATAGACGTCTCCATCAGTTGTCATCTCACTTCCGAGATCATACTCAGCCATTTAAAAAAAAAAAAAAAATTAACATTCAAAGGTCCTAAGGGTCTTTTTTGCCCGAAAACAAAAATAATATGAAAGAAAGAGAAAAAAAATCAATTCTAACAAAAGTGAGTGCCATAATATGAAAGCAATACATTTGAGAGTATTTGAAAGGTAAAGCAGTTGTTACCTGGAGCTGCATATCCAATGTTTCCCCTTGTACTAATTGAACTGCTTTGATTTAGAACAGTGAGCTTTGGGCAAAATATAGCTAGACCAAAATCTCCATCACTGGCAACCATGTCATGGTCAAGAAGAATATTACTTGGCTTCAAATCGCAATGAATGATTGGTGTTGGGGATTGGTGAAGAAGATAATTGAGTGCACAGGCTACATCTATGGAAATGATTATTCTATGTAAAATGTTGAGTCTCCGGACCTTATTTTGTTGATTATTCGTTTTTAGACTTGAATGCAACCACTTCTCTAGACTCTCATTAGGCATGAATTCATAAACTTGAGCTTTGAACTCATTTCCCTTTTTTGTTTTTTGAACTGAAGAAACTTATTTCCTTGAAAATCAATACTGGAGCAAGAAGTTATGTTTCTGACCAAGTTTCGATGTCGAATATTTCTCAAGGTTTCACAATCTGCCACGAAACTCTTGGTAGCTCCACGATTTTGAAGGTCAAATACTTTGATAGTGGCAACAAATTTCCCATCCTGATCAAGAATTCTTCTATATACAGAGCCAAAATTACCAAAACCAATAAGATTTGAAGAAGAGAAACCATTTGTTGCTTTGAGTTTTTCATAAGAGACTTTCAAAGAATGATTCTTTTAGCAATGAAACTGTTTTTCTTCTTAAACCAACAAATTATGAAGAATGATGCCAAGGTTGCTCCAACAAGTGTAGAAGCTACTACAATTGCTAATATATGTGAAAGGGACATTTGAAGTTTTGGTTTCTTGGTGGTGCAGTTGGGTAGTTGTAATTCAGAAATACTGCCACAATGCCTATAATTTCTTGCAATTGATATTGCACTCGCATTTGAGAAAACTCCCTTCATTGGTAACTCACCCTCAAAATCATTATTGGGCAAATTGAGTTCTTTTATGGAAAATTTCTCTGAGAAAGTTGGAATTTCACCAGACAAATTGTTATGAGAAAGATTAAAGTTTTCAAGCCCTCACTAAGATTCCAATGCTAGAGGAATAGATCTTTCGAAGAGATTTTTCCTGCAAATATAAGTTTTCAAGGCTAGTGCAACTGCCAAGACTGATAGGAATTTCACCAAACAACTCATTCTCAGAGACATCTAGTTCTGCTAAATTTTTGAGGTTTCTGATCTCTACTGGCGAGGAACCAAACAAATGGTTCTGAGCTAGATTTTAAGGGGTGGTTTGAGATGTTTTAAATAAGTACACTTTTTGACTTTTTATAAAAAAATGTGTAGAAAAGTAGAGAAAGTGGTTAGAAAAATAGAGAGGAGATGTTGATAGATGTTGATTGATGTGACCCAAATAAGTGTATGTATGCAAAAAAGTGCACTTTTTTAGGTTAACCGAAACAAGCACTTATATAGATAGTGATGAGACTCTCAGAAGTTTTTCAAGTATGGTGCTACTCAAGTTGTTTTGAGCAAAAATAAAATGGATTTTTTTAAAATAATTTTTTTTATTGAATTTTATTAAAACATGAATCAAAATTTTCAACCTAGTTTTGTTAATAGGGCTGAACAAAAATTTATAAAACAAAGGTTCAAGGGATGGTAAGACAAAGAAGACGGAAAAAGAAAAAAATTATTAAAAAAAATTACAACTTATTTAATATTTTCTAACAAGAAAAATTGGGTGTTGATGTTGATGGAGTTGTCTTGGAGATAAGGAGCTTCACTTTGCTACTACATTGGCTTTCTTGGTGAAAATAGATAATGAGGCCGAAAAAAAAAGGTTATAAAGAAAACTGTCTAATCTAAAAAACATGTCATTAGTTTCATTTTAAGTTTGACCCATCATAAAATGTAAACTACGGAAAAAGATACTTGTTCATAAAACAAATTACAGCTCACAAAGGTTGGGGCTCTGTGTGGGATATGGGACACTATTGTAAGTGTTTTGTGTTCTATTCTTGCGAGAATAATATCTGTATATATATTATGTGAATATTGTTTCCTATTTAGAATTGATTTAGGTTTATTCTTATTTCCTATTTAGGATTCGTGTTCCATATCTATTAGAATTCTCTATCAGTGATGTATTCGTTTAGGATTACGATTTAGTGTTCTATATAAGTAATGTATTCTTTGTTCAGTAAATACAATTGAATATACCAAAATTCTTCAGAATTCTTACATGGTATCGGAGCTGTGTTCTCCTATTTCTGGTTCGTCGTTTCCCTCTCTGGTTCAC